AATGAGGACAGGACATGTCCTGATATACAGTATTATATAATATGCACAGCAACTTTGGGGTGATTTAGCCATATAGAAAGAATTTTGAAATACCTCGTTGTTTAAAGGTGCCATACAAATACATACGCCTTGCGTATGCTGTGTATGATGCCCGTTTCTGAGATAGAGTAAAAAGTAAGTGCATATGTATTGTGCAAAAGCAGTAAAATGGGTCAAAGTGTTGTTTTTTTATGCTCCAAATGGGCAGTTAGATAGATTTCAAGGTGGCTTTGTGGTTAGATTCCCATTGGAGATAAGTCAGGTTTAATCACCACAACAGCTTCATGTCCCACTAAAATGTCATCAAACCAGACACTAACACCCCCCCCCCCCCACTAACTCATACTAAGCCACTTAAGAAGATTAGCTAAAATTTAAAAATGCTAGTGCAAGAACCTTACTTACATGGACATGTATTGCACAGTGACAGGGAGGGGTGGCGATGTGTTGACGTTAGCCAAAAAGATGCCACACTTGTCATTGGAATCTATCACACGACTCCAGTTTGTATCCATATAGTCTCCACTGGCTCTGACTCAGACTGTGTGGTAATTGGGATCAGATGAGTGGCAGCAAAAGCGAGGCGACCTGGGTTCTCCGGGACACACACTAACCTGGAAGCATTTATTTTATGGAAAAGATGTTTAGTTAAAGTGCGGCGTTGCAGCCTGCAGCCCAGCCCCTCTAATGACTCTCCAGCTCTCTTGCCCAGGCCTGGAGACAGAGCCCTGTGATGGATATGACTGGTGAAATGGACACACACACACACACACACACACACACACACACACACGCTTCCATCACAGTGCACTGTGATGGATATGACTGGTGAAAGCTCTGAACAGTGTTTCCTGAGCCCTTCACTTCCTTCCTCCCAGGCCTCGGTCAGCCAAACTGAGCCGGGTTTCACTCGACTCGGGCCGGATTGGATTGCAGATTAACTGGCTTCCTGTCCAATCCATTGGCTGCGTTCATCTGCTTTCCGTACGGTACTTTTATTTATGAGCAAGCGGTGACGTTATTGAGGATGAATGAGTCTCTTCAGGATGGATGAGATCCTGGAGGTTGGGGTGTGGGGTGGTGATAATTGAGGGACAAAGTTTTTTAGCAGTGCATTGCATAAAGAATTCAGAAAGAATATTTGTGCAGTGTATGTTATCGCTTGCTGAACTACAACACTTTGGGAGTTTAATTTTCTTGAAGCGGTTCACTGTAAAAATCTCCATCTGACCAAATAACCTTTGTCTATTATTGGGCACTGAAAGTCATATTTTTGGAAAACCAGTGAAATAAATCGGACAGTGTGAGGAGGTATTCCAGTGCAAATTAACTTGATGCAAAAGCTGTCTAGACTGTCTAGAAGTGTAATGTTTCTTGATTCTAATGCAGCAATCTCCCTTATTCTGTCTTGTTTCAATTAACTAATTTGGATTTGTATTGGAAACAATTTTGAAAATTAGTTTTACTGTAAGAAAACACGACTTCTTCAAAAAATCTTAATAAAAGAAGAAAATTACTTAAAAGGTACAGATGGTAAGATGAAGATATCTTTGCTAGGCCTGAAAAGTATTTTATTTATTATTTATTGTCAAAGACAAGAGGGTTTGTATAACAAAAGTATTATTATTTCATTAAACAGCAAGTCATGCCAGACAGGCTTTTACTAATTTTCTGTAATATTTTCTTTAAATAAGACTTGGCTGAGGACTCTTTTTTTAAGGATTGAGATGTAGAGATGTGTTTTGTAGATTGGGTCCATTGTCATTCCCTCCACCATCCCATCACTACAGGCCTCAAACACCACCCACCCCACACCTCTCATCCTCCTCCCTCCCTGCCTGCCTCTCCTCTCTCCTGCTGGCAGCCCTTGATTACACTTGTCTCCTGGGGGAAGGTTTAAACTCCTCAGAGATAGTAATATCGAGGGCACTACTGGCTAGTCACTTCAGATCAGGCGGGGGGAGGAAATGGCGACGGACATAAAGCTAAATATATAATTCCTCCCATGCTGGTAATCACGATGTCCAGACGATTTGAAATGACAGTTTAACCACTTTAGACTGAGGAACGCTTTGTTCAGATTTGAGAAGCAGGTGTGTGCGTTGGAGCGTCTGGTTGGTCCCTACGATGGTTGGGGAGCCTCGTCGTGGGCACGTAGCCTCTCCAAAGGGGCCCGTGTGGTCCTCTCTAAATGCACATGGCGGGGGGGCGCACGGTCCATATAGTTAAAATGCCTTGCAGACCAGACAGGAGCAATTCTGTGAATGACTGACGTACCAAGAGCTCCGGAAGGAAACACTCTCACCGCCCGGTAGTAGTTTACCTGATTATTAGGAAATCCAGCTTCCTCCAAAAATGGAACGGCCATTTCCCTGTTAGATGCAGTAAGAGCGCCCATCTGGATTAGCCTACACGAGGCACAACAAGGCCTCACGCCACAAAGCTCAACCAATTACATATATAAATATTAATAGGCTAATCTGCACATATTCTTCTCCTACGAGCCTGTTACGGCATCCCCGAAAAGGGTCAGAGATACTCTTATGAACATCAAATCCATTTAAATCTTTAGTTCAATCTGCGTATGCAGAGATTTTTGCTCCAGACAGGCTCTCTCACTGCCCCCCCCCCTCATCACATTGCAAGAGGAGAGTGCATTTCGCATTCACGCCCTGATTGGATCCTTGATGAGATCTTCAGGGTGGCTTCTCACACTCTGGTGCTCTTAACACTCCAGAGGTGATGAGAAGAGAGAGAGAGACAGAAGGAGGGAGGGAGAAGTGTGTGTGTGTGTGTGTGTGTGTGTGTGTGCACGCGCACCCTGAAGGGTCGGCTCTGTCGTCGCCCAGCTCCGGGGCTTGATGTTCGGAGTGTAATCACAGGCGGCACAAAGGGAAGACAGACAGCAGAGGGGAATCATATATGTATTGTTTCTCACACACACACACACACACACACACAGCTGCTACACAATATAATGTTGGTCTTTTATGGCAAACTGGTATTAGACCATGGTCATGAGCTTCTCTCAAAAGACATGAATAATGCAGTGCAGACATCTGCGTGAAAGGTAGAGCTATTAAGAAGTAGAACCATGCAAACAGGGGTATGGGGCAGAATGAAGTGATAGAGAGCAACACTCATGGGATTGTGATACTATTTAGGAATACAAGTTTGAAAAGGATGAAACTGGCATCAGTAAACACACTGCATAAAGAAAAACCCTGCGTAGTTTCAGAAATTCCCATGTTGAAGTGAGAAGAACCTGAATTCATAAGAACTAAAAAGCACTCATGCTAAATTTAATACACTCAGGAGTTTTGCTGCTTCAGCAACACGTGGTCTGGTATGACCAGTAGCGTACATTGGCTACTGTTAGCAGAGAGATATTGCTGTATAACTGACATTACTTAGTCAGTTCACTGATTTATGACTCTTCTGTACTTGTGTTACTGTTACATTACATTTTACCATTATCCTATATGTGTCCCCTTTGCAGCTGTTTGGCAAATTGTTACATAGTCTTGCATTTGTATTTCTGTCATGCAAGAATCAGACATTGGTGCTTTATAGCAAAAAGCTTTATAAAAGAGCTTGTTGTGAGTTAAAGCTCAGTTAGTGGGCTAAAATGTGTAACTGGTAATCATTCCTTAAATGCACCAGCAACAAATAAAAGGCTAGACTATCAAATCAAACGTTTACTGTGCTAATTTAGACTTGTATATTTTTCAGAAGAATCGCCAAAGGACACAGCAGAAATTCCACAAAGACAAACCTCTGTTGCTCTTTCTCGCTTGCACACACAAATGTAGTCTCTCACACACACACACACACACACACACACACACACACACACACACACACACACACACACACACACACACACACACACACACACACACACACACACGTCAAAAGGCGGTGCTAGTAGTAGTAAACATTTGAAAGGAACAGGGGTAATTCACATGATAAATGTCAACCAAAATGAAGCTATCAGCTGAAAGCAATTTCCTTGTGCTTGCCTGTGTTCTGCGCCAGGGACTTGGGAGATTTTCACCCCTCCATCGATCATGAAGCCTCTGTTTTAGGCCAAGGTACACAATGCCCTCAAATTGCTGACATATGGACCTAGAATCACCACAAAAACCTGCCATTTCCACCCCACCCCTCCTCTGTCCCGACCCAGCCACTCCTCTGCTAAACTCTTGTTTATCCAATGACTCTGGTCTGTTTAGGCCATTAAAGCAAAGCCATTCAGGGAGACGGAGCGCCAAGGCAAATGTAATAAATCCACAATCTGTAGCGTGCAATTTAGTGCCGCTACCAACTAACACAAAAGATGACAAAAAAAACAAAACACCACGGAATCTGCATCGTCACCACTCCTCACTTCATATTCTCCATTTTAGTTAAGTCGCACAGCATTTTGATAAACATAATTAGTAGTTTGCAATGTTGCAGCAATGTAATGACTGGGTGACCAAGTGTGTGGGCAAACTTTTAAAATGAAACCTGTCTGCCATGAGGAGACGCCTGCGACCGGTAGCAGAGGAAGCAAAACAAACCACGATAAAGCTGAAGACACTGACCACATAATAGCACGGAAAGCCTCTAGCTGGTGTAAACAGTGGCTAGATGAAAGCAGAGACGTGTGTGTGTGTGTCACTGGGTAGGTTTCCCCATTCAAACATTTCTTCTTATTAATCCGACTTGAACAACTACTCGTGCAACAATTCCTGAACGTGGATTTAAAAGTGCAGCTATTTAAAGACAAAGGAGGGCCAAGCGCACAAAGTTAAAAGGCCTCTTTTCCTAATGGACAACGGTGGTGCCAGCAGCCAAGACCTGGAGGTCTGTACACAGGAAAAGTCCATTATCACTCTGACTAATGGAGGAGGGGGGCGACTTCAAACCAAACGCGGAGAAAAAGAAAAGAAAACAAGAGAAAGATGACGCACATGGTACAAAGCAGTGTTTCTTTAATGGAGTCCATCAATAATGTTAGTTCCCTGACTTTATTGTCGAGAGAACAGCTGTACTATCAATCGTAGACATGGGCAGAAATTAAAGGCCCCTTTTTTTAAGTGCATTTTTTAACAGACTTTGAATCAATGTGAAACAAATGTTTGGCAACACGCTAATCATATCCTGCGTCTCTGGAACATACTCTCTCTCCCTTTCTCTCTCTCTCTTGCTCTTGCCACCAAGACCAACCCGCAGCCAGTTTACATTCAGACGGGTGCGCTTGTTTTATATAAACAGACAGCCCTTGTGGCAAGGGGTTTGATTAGGAGGAGGCCCACAAATCCCATTAAAAGTCCATTTGTCCCTCAGTTGGTGTTTGTTTGAAGACAGGAAGAGTAACAAGGGAGGAGGGAGGTGACTGGCAGTCTTTCGTTGTTGTTTCCGTGACAATTTCTGTTTATGCACTGACGGTCAAACACAGATATCACCCAGCAGTGAAGAGCACATAATTGCCATTGATGAGGGCAGGAACCAAAGCCCAGTTTCTGCCTGGAGCACCAGAACTTGTACAACAGTGGCCGAGTCTCGCTCCTCTGTATAAATCTTACAGACTGTTCCACTCATCAAAAGCTACCTCCCCAACTCGATTGAGTCACCCTCTTTTATAACCACAATAAGAATGACATGTTGCTTCTATGTGTCCATCTGTAGGTTCAGCAACAACCAAATGATACAGTATCAAAAACAACATAAAAATACAATGCTCTTTCAAACGTCACAGTCACCCTAACAGCTCCTTGGTCTTGGCTGCAAGCTGTTTGTCAATGTCCACTGCAATGTTGTCTGACATCTGCTGGATCTGTGAAGGCAGAGGGTAAGACGGGAAAAGATAAATCTATTTTGAAAACACCTTATGGGCTTACTTTTGACCAAAGGTCCAGTAAAGGATGACAATATGTCGCTGCGATTTGACTGGACTGATTTTTCACTTTGGTGCCAATGTGGAACTTACAACTAACATTAACAGTAAAACACTAAAGCTGGAAATTACATATAAGGAAATGACTTCATGGCTAGTTATACTTTCACTTTAAAAAAAAAAGAAAAAAAAAAAAAGACCCACAATAGTTTCAGGTGTGAGTAAGCTCTAATTATCATTTACCTCTTTGACTCTTTTCAATTTTATGACTCATCTGACGCAATGAGCCACTCATCTCAATTTTTCTGTGGACTACGTGTAGCAGCATTGTTGTCGCCTACCTGTTTTTCTACAAGTCGTATGGTGTCCTCCGAGTGTCCCTCCTTCGCCTTTTTGACTTGTGCGACAGCATTAGATCGCACCTTCCTCAGTGAGTCTTTAGCCTTGTTGCTGAACTGTTTGGCCAGCTTGGCGAGGTTCTCTCGGTGTTCCCGCGTTACTCTGCAGGTGAGGGAAAAGATTAGAGGAATGAGAGTAAGACAGAAGAGGACAGAGAAAAAACAAAACAGAGACCGTAAGAATCCCAGACAGACAGGGAAATGGATTACACCAAGCAAGGGTTCACAGACAAATATCTGTTTTTATTTGTCTATGTGCATTTTGAAGATATGATGATGGAAATTAGCTTAGCACGACTCTATAGTTTTAAGTAGCAGCTCCTCTGTGTAAAGTAAGAAAATGTTTAATAAGACGCTGTTAAGTACCATACATCTAGGAAAATAAGATAAACTAGGCTAAACAGTTAACATACCCTCAAACTGCACACAAACACCTAAAAAGAGAGTTGCTCTGACTCTTCTGACTGTAAAGAAAATACTAAACACAGAAACACTTAACTGTGCAGAGACAAAATGACAAAATAAACCATAAAACCAACATCCTCACTTGTGCAAATGAATGCTTGTAGGCATGAAGTATAAGTCTTTTAGTTGTGACTCGTAGCAATCACCTAACAACAATCACTTCCCGAGGTCTCGGACCAGAGCTGAAACGTCCGTCATCCCAACAACTTTGCATTCACTTTGCATTTGTTAATCACTCAGAAAATCCTACTTCCCATTTCACTCTCCCTCTTTGTCCTTAATTGCCTTTTTTCCACTTCTCCTCATTGTTTTTGCCTCAGGGACTATTTGCAAACAATCCAAGTGCAGCGTCTATTTACCACAAACAATACGGCCTAATTACTGATTCCAGGGCCAATCAAGGAGCGCCTTCTCTTTGGAAATGCAAATGGAGGCTCAAAGCGTGCCGAGACTGATTGCAGGGGGAAAGCAGTCCGACTCTTGTCTCCCTCCTCTGCCAGACTAACACCTGCTGCTCCATGCGCGCGTACACACGCATGCACATAAATACAGGCCGGCATTTATGCATGTATACTTACATGCACATGTGTGTATATGTAAAAAATAAAATCTTTATATACACACACACACACACAGAGTTCTTTAGTGAGTGAGTTAAGGATAGTTTTGTATGAGGTTGTTTGACTTGGCAGAGAGCGAGAAAGAGAGAGAGAGTGAGAGTGTGTGTGTGAGAGTTAGAGAGGTCTAGCCAGAATGAAGATATAGAGTGACCCAAGCCTCAAATCTACACAATGCAGATCTCGGTACATCTAACAAAAGTCAATAAATCTGTCAGTTACAGCTCAGACTGGGGGATTTATTAATGGGGAGAAATTCAAAGCCATGGATGAGACTTACATAATGTACTGATTATTTTATTGGTTTACTGGTTAATTATTTAACCTACAAAATCTCAAAAAATAAAGTCAAATGTCTGCCAAAAGGTTAAGAGCACAACCAAATAAGTATCCAAATGATTTATTTTATCTAAATAACAGTAAATAAAACTTATTTAAAAATGATTATTAATAAACATTTTATCAACTGAGTAACTTGATCAGATCACCCAATCGTTTCAGGTCGTTAAAATAAATGTTTATCTTAAATCACAGGAGTGGGAAAACAGGAGGAATGACAGAAGAAAAGTAAAAGTGTGAGGAAAAAGATGGAAAAGCAGGAAAGTTGCCTGTGGGGCTGTTTGTATCAGAAAGAAACTCACTTGGGAACAGGCACCTTGACGATCGTCCCGTCCACCTCTGGGTTAAGGTTCATACTACTCTCTCTCAGGGCACGAGTGGCAGCCGCTGTAGCCTGGGGGTGCACGCACACACACACACACGTCAAACACTGGTGTGAATGGAAAAGCATCACTACAACTGCAGGTAGTGGCTTAGCTCCAGCTGGCAATAATTAAGGTAGGTGGTTTTGTGTGTGTGTGTGTGTGTGTGTGTGTGTGTGTGTGTGTGTGTGTGTGTGTGTGTGTGTGTGTCAAGGGAAGAACCATGCAGTGTGGAAGTGCCTCGGGCTACTGTCAGTGCTCAGCCTTGTGGGACAGGACTGAGAGGTTGCAGGGCAGGGCGTTGACCCATGGCGACCTCACAGGAGAGTCTGCTTGTGCTTGTGTATAATACATGGACACTCGCACATACACAAACACACGCTTTTGAGTTTGCATGTGTTCATTTTCGGATCAAATTTAAATGTATAAATATCAAAGCAGCTTTGGCTTATTTATGAAAATGGATTTTTTGTTGTAATGACAAAAACGCATGTACATGTATGACTTTATTCACTTTAACAGAGAGTACATGTCAACACTTTTCTTGTATTGTGGTCAGATTTTGCATGTGGCCAGCTCATTACCTCATGTAGGGGAGAAAGGGAGGTCTAAAGGCGGGAGTTAAAACATTTGGAGGTTAAATATGTTGAAAGACATTGATTGTGACACTTTAACACAACTGAGGGACAATTTTTGAGAACGACTGAACCCAGTTTTCTTGTTCTGCTATTTTGTTTCTGGCTGTTGTGACGACAGTGAAGATTCTCAGTCATCCAGGTCATAGTTATCCAAGGTGGTCAAACTGGAATTGGCTTAAGACACTCAAAAATGTTTCACCAGAGTACAGAAACCAACCAGCCAGGAGCACTGATGAACCAAGCAACATCCCCATTGATGACGACCCCACAGAGGTTAAATAGCTTAGATTCCTTGCCAGTCAGTAAAAACTGAAGAAGCCTCTTGGATGAGAGTCTTCAACCAAGTACATTTGCCCTTGATTTTAACCCACCATGGATAACTAAGACCTGGATGATAACAGTAGTGACATAAAGGCTTTTGAAATTATGCAGAAATGGACGTGGGTCATTCATGTTATTGTCTTACTAGGGCTCTTTCACAAAATACGTTTTGGAAGGTATGTAGGAAAATCTCAGGTGTAAATAATCAAAACAATGATGGCTGAATTCCATTTAACCGCTTCACTTTCAGGGTCCCGGCATTATGCATGCTGGCTCACTGTCAAACTGCCATGGCTTACTGTGACACTTGAACAGAACGGAACCATCATTAATGTTAGACTGGTTGTGTCAAGACCAGCCTCATTTCTGTGAACATGGACATCAGATTCCCTTAAAATCTGGCATCATCACACATGACTCTGTAGGTGGTGTAACTGATTAGAAATCTTGGAGTAAATGTAAACTAGACAAACAGATGATCTGATCAAAAGCCATTTTCATGAATTCAATTAAGAGCATTAAGTGGAAATGCATGTTTCTGATCTGCATTGTGCAACAACATCAACAGAAATAAATAGCAGGTGAGGATAGACATGGCTCTGGGACACAAGATATCTCCTGCCTCCTGCAAATTTGTCAAAACTATCACAAGAAATGAAAACATCTGCCCATGTTCTCAGCTGTTGCCTAAAATGGCTTATTGAAAAAAAAATGCTACTAATATTTCCCAAACACCATCTGTCATTTCTGTAAAGGATGAAGATAATCAGAGGGAAATGAAAAGAAGAGCATTGTGTGTTTTGTGAGGGAACAAGAGATCCAGAGTCTGTGGCCACTGGCTGGAAAGGCAGATGTGCTGTAAATGCTAAATGATGTCTGAACACAACACAGGATGAGACAAAAGTTGCTTTGATACACTATGATGATATCAGTTTACTGATATTGTAGCTTCTTCGGCATTTTATTTAAAAGTGTGTTTGTATTTGTTCAACAGTCCATTAGGTCAGGCAGAAAAAGAAGCTTACATGTGACTCAATGGTAAATATTAGAATAGCATTCACATATGTGAATCCAACTTGATCCAACACACGCACACACGCGCGCTCACGCACACACACCTCCTCAGTCCAGCAAATACTACATTAGAGCCAGAGAGCTACAGTTAAACAGTGCATGCAGACAAAGAGGGATGAAGCCAAATCCTTTGAATTACTGAAAACAAAGTCACACTCCTCAAACCAATTCTGAAACCGCATGACAATTCCCTTAGCTGAGCTTTACAAAGTGAGGAAATGTGCTATGTGAGGAAAAAAGCACAACATTTCCCTTCCCTTCCTTTCTACCCTACTCCCCTTTCTCGACAGCTCCTTCTGGGCTTTTCCTCTGGGGGAAAGAAATGGCAGCAAGATTAAAGGAATTTATTTGTGTGCATTAAATTAATGCATGAGGTTACTTTTTGTTTCCTTTGTTAAAAGTCATCCGGAGCACAGGCCTCTGGTTGCTCTCTGTGAGTGTGGGGTGATAGATTCGGCAAATACCTATGTTTGATTGTTCTCAGCATCAAATTCATCACCATTTCCCCCCCTCTCTGACGACTGCGCCGGTGGTTACGGAATACCGAGCGGAACTTCTCTGGAAAGGCTGGGCAGGTTCTGCTTAATATGTTGGAGAGGAAGAGAAATTACGCTGAAGTTTCACATCAAACGCCTGATGGCCTGGTTCAAAGCAAAGAGGCGAGCGGAGAGGAATGTGTGTGTGCGAGAGTCTGTGTGTGTGAGCGTGTATAAAAAAAGAAAAGAAAAAGGGAGACCTGAAGAAACACTTTATGAAGAAAGCGTTGGTATGCTTAAAACATGCGCGCACACACACACAGAATTGCCTCCTGATCTAAGCATGCTGTTAGTTGTTGTTGGTTCCACTGTTCCTTCCCAGGCTGCTCTTAATGAATGAATGGAAAACAATGATAGGGCCTCTGGAGTGCCTGGTAATGGATAGGCATCATTATAAGCCTATTAGCTCTAGGTACTGAGGACTCACCTCCATGTGGGACATGGGTAACGTAGGGCACGACAGGGTAGCGTGTGTACGCATGAGTGTGTCTGTCAGCGTGTGTGTGGTCTGCGGTCGGAGTTTCTGGGAAGGAAATAGACTCACCAAAAGGACCATTCAGCCTGATTCAGGTTAAAGAGACTGGATTTCCAGATTTGAGGTGCTGATAAATACTTGGATTTGCATGTTGTTTTGTGATATTGGCACAAAAGAGAACAAAGAGGTGAAAGCACGTCTCTCAGGTTCACAAAAGGTGACCAGCAGGAAAGCAAAAGGTGGTGGAAGATAGTGATAGTGAAGATTGTGAAACTGTTGTTTGTTGTAACAGACAGGTGGTTCTCTGAAACAACAAACTGCTTTTGAATGTCATCTATGCTTTTAAAAACTGGAAAAACTACATTTGTGGACACACAGGTCTCTAAGCTCTGTGGCAGGTTGGCAAAACATGTTAAAATGGTTGATTTAGATTTTTTAAAACTCACTTGTCTTGCTTGTCCTTAAGATTTTAATTATTTTAAATTGTTGTCCATCTATTTTATTGTGTCTAACTTAATGAACATTATAAAAACAAAGCACCACTTGGCTGTGTATCAGCTCAATATCTAATGAGATCAAAAATAACTAAATCATCAGTAATGACAGTCCGCGGATATATGATTGTACAATGTCGTGTTAAATGCTAAGAGCACATTTAGCTTTTCCAGACAACCAGAAAGTCTGGCCACTAACAATGTGAGTTGCTCTGGAGGAGAAAATGTCTTTCTTGAGCTCTGATTAGTAATGTATTGTATCATCTAAGAAGGAAAAGGAGGGAGAGAAAAAGGAATGAAAAAAAATAGTCCATTCCTTCCTAACCTGGGGGTAAAATGAGGTCATTTCCTTTTCTGTGACAACTCACACGTAGACATAACCACATCTCTGTGGGCGCACACCCAGAGTTTAGGTTCTTGTTGCTATCTTTCACCAGAACAAAGGGCTCACCGAGTGATCAATCAATTATCATCTGAGACACAGTTGGAGAGAGCGAGGCAGGTCAGGTTTCATTTATACAGAGATGTGGACTTAAGAGTTCTGGTCTGGCTCACGTTTCCTTCTGTGAGAGGACGTCGATCTGTCTGTGCTTTGGATTATTTTTATAAAGCTTTTAGTTACTGTCCCTGTCCATGTCAGACAAACAGATACCGGTAGGAAGAATCTGTACATGTGTGTTTTTGAGTTTGGCTGTGTGTGTGTGTGTTCGTCTTACCTCTGGAAAGCTGCTCATGTTGACCATAATGAGCTGGGGTGATTTCATGGAGATCTGACCCAGCTGGTTGAGAGGGAACTTCCCATCTTGAGTCGTCACCACAATGTGATCCAGAGCTCCTAAACAAATACAGATACAAGTAATTGTTTATTTACTTAATTTATTCACCTACATAAACAATTTACGGCATAATTTTAATGTTGCCATGTGCAAGTGCCTTCTGTAGTCCCCCTGATTCTGTGCATTTATTCATCTGCAGGCCCATTTTAATCAGCCAATATCAAATTTATCAGCATTTGCAGCAATACATTTTTATAGGCTGCATTTTACAAATATTTGATGGTTTGTTTTTCTATACTTAAGTTGACTGTCATTTTATAGTAATATTTATAGCTACTATTTAAAATAATTTAAACTTCAATAACTGCTCTGTGCACTCCTTTTACTATTATATTAGTGTCGTTTTTGATAATAAAGGTTATTGTTCCTCTGTAAAATATCTTTACTGCTTATTTATGTTATGTGTTTTTGTAAAAATAATTAATTTTAACAAATACATTATTATCAGATTTGTTTTCTTCTCATGGATCAATATTGGCCCCAAAAGTATCGGTTGGTCTCTGGTAAATATGGGAGCTTTTCTGGTTTGATGACACTGTTTCCATGCAGACCTAATATAAAAATGAAAGCAAAGAGTCAATCAATCATTCAGACTGTCAGTCAGACAGATTAACAAATAAATAGACAGAAAGATGAATGTGCAGCAGAAGCCACAAACTGCATGAGTTAATAAAAATGCGAGTCCACTGTCAGACTGTTAAGAGTTTCCATGATCTACTGTCTCTCCTCACTGTCAACAATGAGAGAAGCAAAGATACATTTGCCAACATGAGTTGACTTCTGTCTCCTCCCTCCCTCCCTCCCTCCCTCCCTCTCCCTTTTCTCCCTCCCTCTCCCTTTTCTCCCTCCCTCCCTCTCCCTTTTCTCCCTCACACCATCCATCCACCCCTCTCCCTCTCCTCCATCTGGCTAACCTCAGACGCAGTTGTTTCCTTCTTCTCCACCTCTGCCTTACATCACTCGCTCCCCGCTTACCCACTGGGGCCTGCGCTGGTGGTGTGTGTGGAAAAGGGGGGTGGGGGGTCAGGGGTGGGTGGTTTTGGTGAGCTACTGGTGTAATTTTCTCTATATGATCAACTTATAAAATGACTTAAAGGGCAAAAAACCCCAGACATATCAGTCAGAGATTAGATACAGAAGAAATTAAATATATATATAAAAGATTGGCATGATATGATGAAATTAACACCTTTTATTTCACTTACATACTGTCTTCCTGCCTGCCAATCACTCTGTCTCCCTCTTTGAATTCAAACGTCCTGAGTGTGCAGCTCTGAACCTGCCTGTTTGTCTCACAGTGCCTCTCTGTGTATACACACCGTCCATGTCCATGTCTCTGACCTTCTGCTTCTCCGTCTTTGTTACCTGTGCCTTGACAATGAGCAACTACACATCTGCTAGTAATTTAGGAGGGCAGACAGAAAGGCAGACAGACGGACAGTCAAATACATGGGTGGAGGGTGAGGAGGGGAACGGGGGGTTGAGAGACAAGAGATAGGTCAGAGGAAGATGGCTGAGAAAGGATTTGCCAAATTGTTCTTTATAAAGACATTACATATACCAATAATAGAACACATATTATATAATGTACACTATACATTTAAATGTAAACTATAATTTTTTGCTTTTTATCAAAGTTTAAGTTACTAATATTAAACAGGCCACACTATTTGTAAACTTCCAATACTAGTGCTAAGGATGTATCCGGCTAATCGATATTTTGGTCAATATTTATTGATATTTGATCTATTTTGGTCCACTTTGACATCCCAATATAACTCAATGACATTGGAAACATTATGCATTTTGAACTAAAAAAACATGTTTTTTAACAGTGAATTTCCTTGAACTGTAAATATAATTCAACTAAAATACAAAAACACATATCTTATTAATCTTAATAATAATAATAAAATTAATAATAATAATAATAATAATAATAATGTATATAATATAATAAATAAAGCCTTATTTAATGTATGATGTGTATATACAGTCTATGGTATTATATTGTTGTTTTTATTTGGTATATAAAATGTAAGAAAGGATTGCTGAAATGTGACTCATTTTTTTTGGAGGCTCCAAACACAACACAACTCTAACAGCACAGACACACACGCATCAAAATCCAAGAAGTGGCCGGCTTAACCGGGTTTTCACAAACGATTGCTCACTAGTCCACATTGAGCTGAACTAAACATGACACAGTCTGACTCAGAGTGAGTTTGGGCTTTTAGGGAGGTGCAAAAGCGTGCCACTGTCAAGGAAAGGGGTTTGTTTTCCTGATCGTTGGAAGCCAAAATTGTATTTGAAAATAAAATTTGATTAATCGCCCAGCCCTAATACGTAGTCTAATAAAGTTTACACTGTCTCCATAATACAAACATATAGTTTAAGTAAACATGAAGTCAGCATGGTTTTCCATTCAGCTCATCAGACATACATGGCGAAATCACGATAAAATCTACTCTGGTTTATTCTGACAGCAGGTGTTGCTGGAAGGCTTTACTTACACTATAAACTCTGGCGGTCACAGAGAGCTCACAAAGATATGGTTAGGAGCATTAGTCAATACTACAGCTGGACTTTATCTGTTGTCAATCTGAGACAGCTAGTAAAAGGTAAAGGAAATGATGCATCCTGAACTGTAACACTTGGAGAAACAATCGCCCTGATCAGCAAAAATGTGGGTAAATATGTTTAGCTGAGCTTTCGGGTTCATAAATGTGTCATCACCATGAGGCTGGTCCATGTTGCATTCTCACCACATGCAAACAAGTTAACTTTAGCTAGAGATTTGACCCAGACCATTAATTTTAGATGGTGTCTGTGCAGTTGGTCAGAGCTTCAACGACTGCTGTAAAAACAACACTGGCATACAGTATCATCACCTTTTAAGTTGACAACTTTGGAAAACTTGTTAGCATAGGCAACAGTTGCATGTTTACACATCCAGCAGACACAGAGCAATATTAGCATTCATTGGGAGTCGTGTTTCTAGCCACCTGGTGAATGGAAGTCCAACATTCACTCTGCTTTTAGCTCTGTTTTTAGTCTCCACCAACTCCTGAGGGAAACATCTGACTCTTTAGCTTCTAAATGCTCCACTATGGGCAATATGTTTGTTAAATGTGTCTGACGTTTGGTGCTTTATAGATAGTGTACAGCTGATTTTTAGAGCTTTCTTGCTGAAAACAACTGCCTGCTGCTTCTGGGTTTTAACAAATATTTACAAATTAGCACTAAAAACACAATGTACACCCGAGGCTGATATTTAGTATATAGTCATTAGTGGAGCCAAGAGGAGTGTGAGAGGGAATCCAAACAGTGAAACCAAAGCAATGGGCTGAAAGATGCTAAAAAAGGAGGTGAAGCCGCAGAGTCAAATGATATTTGTCTGTGGGGATACGAGCTGCTCCTTTTTACATACAAAAAGTTGTGGATCAGTTTGGATCATTGCAGCTTGAATGTGCTGTATTTAACTTCAGGTAAGATTACTCATCTGTGACTGACCACATGATAATGATGATCCCCTCTTTCTATCTATCTGAGTTCTGCTATTCGTTTGCCACATGCAAACAAACACATGCACACATACGATATGCGTTCATTGTAACACACAATAGTACAAACTGTCATATCCACACACACACACATGTACTCATAAGCCTAATGAGAGCCAGATGAGAGGTTCGTGGAACAAACACACACACACACTTACATGAGACACACGCACATTCGGACAACTGACGTCATTCCATTCCACCATCTCATCTCTCCTGTCAGCTCTAAGTCCTGCTGCCTCCCTGGATTACTGTGCAGCTGGACAGAAGAGAGGAGGATGGAGAGACTGGAGGACAGCAGCGAGGGATAGAGAGATGCAGGGAGGAGACAGGGCAGCTGACAGGATGGAGGGAAGACAAGAGACAAAAATGACAAGAGAAAGGAGGACTGAAGAGTTGGAGGGAGTGAAGAAACAAATGTTTCCCTGTAGGTCGATTAGAAATTTGAATTCAAAATGTGAGACAGAGATTAAAAATATGGTATCAGTAGAGGCCAAAATATAAAGCTGGAAATTGTTGGAAAAATAAATGAGAAGAGAAAGTAATGGAGAGATAAAGGGAGGGGCCGAAGATAGAAAACAACTCAGACCAAGAAATTACTGAATGATGAGTGGGGAAAGTAAAGGCAAAAAAGAACAATGAAACAGTTGGAAATCTACAAGACATTGAGGTTTTAACTATGAAAAAAAATCAAGGTCGTCTTTGTGCTTCTGTTGGTTAACTCCAAGTAAAAAAACTGCAGATCAAATTTCAGAGAAAGTGTACTTTCATCTGAGGAGTAAAAAGCTCAGACACTTTAAGCCTGAAGTCTGAATCCAGGGGCTGCATCCTCCCTCGGGAGCTTCCATTACACAGCCCGCCTTGGAACCCCCCCCCCCCCCCCCCCCCCCCCAAGCCCAGCTCCCATTTGTTAGAACCCAGAGGCAAAGGGTCACGACCTGGATGTACTTGGGGAAAAAAAGAGGTCAAACTCAAGGCCAAGGTAAGGTTACACTTGGGCTCACTCTATCCCCTTTGTCAGGTAGATGCAAACAAAGAAGAAGACTTACTGACCTCTGTCCCAAAGTAAGAATGTCCCTTAGATGTGCTGTTAAGAAGGAAATGCCTCATGTGTATGGTACATGACACAGTGAAAAAATAAAAATACACTGCAATAGTCGATGCAGCATTCATGCATGAATATCTTGTGGTGTGGTGTTTTAAAAAAAAACTTACTTAATACTCTGCAATTTGGGAATGTAATGCTGCCTACTGCCTAAGTTACAACGAGACGTAACAAATGGCTTATGCAGCACACAAGAGAAGTGTGTAGCTGCTTTTGCAGAGAGGTTACTGAAGAACATTCTTTGGAAAAACTGGATTCAAAAATCACTTTCACTCTGGGTAAACATTTTATCATTCTGGTTGGACTGCAGACATCCATGAGACTACAGACATACCTTTGCAGATTGAACCTGCAGTAGGGAAATAGATACAAATACCAGAAATGAAATAAGAGGAACTTCGTAATTTAACAGATCTGTATGTGGTATGATGTTCAACATATAGCATTTGTTCTGTTGTTGTAGCGTGTGTTTCTTCTTTAACCCTGTTAACAATAAAGGGAACTAGTAAGCTGAGCAATTCAATTAAATCCTTACATCTGTGGTAACACTATGGTTCCTCTTATTATACAGCTATTTATGTCCACTCAGTGTTACATTAAATGAATACGTGGCACTACTGGAAAGCTATTTATGTTAACTTTTCTGTTATTTATGTCTTTTGTAAGGAGACTTAAAATTTGAACTTGAGACTCAATGTTTCGTGTTTTTCCTTTTTGCTAGCTGTTTAGTTTTGTCCATGAGGGAGTGAAGTTTGAGAAACAAGCACCAGATGAAAGGGAGTCCACGAAAGAAACAGAGACGAGCTGAATACCTGGTGAGGTTCGGATGCTGAGGTTGCGTGTGAAGTCATCTTTGAGTGCATTAAGAACAGCCGTCATGTCCCCCTTCACTTCATCCAGACTGATGATGTCCTCCACTAGAGCCGAATTAATGTTCACCTTAGCCGACTGGCCCTTTGCCTTGGCTTGGAAGATGAAAAGAGGGGGGAAAAAAAAGGCACTGTGGGAAGAGTGGAGACTCATATGTATGACAAATAATATCTAATCAAATAACCCACATTCTCGCCAACAACAGAACCACAGAGGTTGCACTACAGTCTCTGGGATCTCCTCACCAACCTTTGGCCTTCTTGGTGGCATACAGCCTGGTGCATGCAGCCGGGTAGCAGGTGATGCTGGGGTACAGATGTGGTGCACTGGCCCTGGAGGTGGCCACGAGGGGAGACCGGACCTGTCGCCCCAGGGCCTGACAAAGCAGTGGTCGCAGCACGTTCAAAGCCATAACTGCCGAGACAAAAGCAGGAAGTAAGAGAGTAAATAAAAATGTTGTTAGAGGAAGTATAAAAGCACAATGTGGTTACGTCTGGAAGGAAAAATATTGATTAAACTTGATATAATCACAAATTGTTCACAGATCTGTTGAAGGCACCGCTGGTAATATTTAGCGAAATGACTCATATCAGCCAGTAGGAGGTAGACCTACATCTTGTTCTGACTTATTACTGTACCACAGTCTCTTTTTCTCTTGACAGCTATATAATGATACTTTGTGACTGGTGCTGTTGAATTGTGTTGCATTGTAGTGGGAGGTGTTCCTGTTATTTAGCCCACCCCTTAATGATATAAGTGGGCTAAACAAATAATAGAAACACCTGTCTGTATTATGCAATACAGTTCAACAGCACCATTGCACTGCAGGCTCCATTTCCATCTGTTTGTGACAGATATAGACTTCCAGTTTTGTGTTTTGAATTGTGGTTGTGGAGAGTGACCCTTTCGTTTACACTTGGTTCTACGGTTGCAACTAACAATTATTTTCATAATCTGCCCTGTAGGCGTTTTTCACAGCACACATTTTGGCACGTCAACAACGGGAAAAGCACATGTGTAATTAATAACACTAATAATGACCGCATTACAATTCGGTAAGCAAGTTCCAGGGGGACAGTATTGTGCTTGCTGGCTCACTGGCCTGACTTACTGGAGCACTTAAATGAACCGAGACATTGCTTTTTCCTGCTATGACAACCCAAAAAAATCTGCTGTGAAAAAGGTAGACTATTACTTTCTTGACCAATCATTTAAATCGTTTGGTCTATTAAATGTAAGAAAATTGTGAAAAATGCCCACCACCATTTCTTAAAAAGAAGGTGATGTTTTCACATGTCAACCTAACAGGCCAACTCTCTGAAATATAAAAATATTCATTTTTCAGTCACATAAGACAAACAGAGACAGAAAATCCTCACAATTGAGAAGCTGAAACTGGGAAATGTTTGACATTTTTGCTTGAAAAATGATTGCCTCATAAATCAAGATATTTGCCAATTATATTTCTGTTGACTGACTAATAGATTAACTGACTAATGGGTTGGATCTGAATTACTCTGACTGGCAATGAAAAGGACATTGAAAGGAGGCTCTTGTAAATCCAGTTGCACGCACAGACTACGTTATATGCAATTACACAGTCACAAACATGCTGTTTCGCTTCCTTTTACACACACAAATCTATGGGATTAAACTACCTCTATACTCAGCCCACGCACTGTTGTTTGGGAAATTCCTTAAGGGGAACCTCCCATTCCAAAAAACACACAACAACATGAGACCAACCACCTCCCACCTCGCAAACTGGCTCTCGAGTGTGAACTGTGCCACTGAACCTCAGCGTACACACAAGCACAGACAAGATTTCGGAGCCCACAGACAAAAACACACTAAAGCCTGTCTTTCACAGTCAGTGGTTGTGAACAGCTCTTCGTGTACTGCAGCCTGACTGACATCCCCTATTGTTTGGTGTGTATTTATAACTGGTGGCTGTGAGGAGAAACAAACCATACTGTCGGCACTGAAGACAGGTTGGTTACAAATTAGAAGAACATATTACTGAGATATTTTCCCTGCATAATTTTATAAAGATTTGAAATTATTTTCAGCTTCAAGCAAAATCCACTCAATTAGCTACTAAAAAGCTGAAGATGTTTCTCCACTCATCAAAGAGGATCCAATTAAATGTCCAGTTTTTTTTGTATGCTCTTTATTATGCTCTAAATGTTGTTTCAAAGATTTCTCCACACTGGAATATAAATCTAAATAAATTTAAACTTTTTAAAAAAACTTAAATAACCCAGCATATGTATTTTTGTGTAACTGTAGATTTTAGACTCCTCCTCAGGTCATTTAAAGCCCAAATATCCAAGATACAATACTGATCTCTGTGTGCTGAAAAAGGTTGCCACGGCCATGCCACAAGTCCAACCAAAATCCAAACATATTCCAATGTCAATATTTAGGCTAGACTGTGGACCACCACCTACAATACAAACCCATAACAGGCATCCATGGCTGGCAGGTTTCCTGACAAGCTGATATGATACGGCAAACTGTGGCAGAGCAGATAGGCTCGGATGTGGGACGGTGACGGATCTCTTTAGAGTGGAAGTCAAGCAGAAAAAGTGAAGCACAGGTGTTCAGTGGGATACTGTAGCCTCATATCCTGTAGGTTTCACACACAGCAGCAGCTGCAGACACAACTCTACTTCTTCCAGTAGCAGGAGCCAGCTGGTGAGCCCGCATGATCTCCCCTATGCACACTTTACAGTTTGAGCAGAAAATAATACAGCAGAGCATCAGCAACGCCTCAACACTGTACAGACTGGGGCTTAAAAATCACTGAACCTCTGTTATTTGTTCATGTGTCCATCAGTTTAACCAATAGACTGTTTAGTCTATAAAGTGCCAGAAAAGGCTGATAATGATGATCCCAACTTCCTAGAGCCCAAGAACACGTTTGAATTGCTTTTTGCCATAGTCACATGAAAATGCTATAAAGCAGAGAACAGAGCTTTTAGAAGCTAGAACCAGCAAATGTTTGGCATTTTAGCTTGACAATTTTTTTAATTGATTATCAGAATTGTGGGCGGTTAATTTAATATGTCACCTAATCACTAATCTTTTGAGTACCTGGTCACACTATAAACAAACTAAGTAAGGAGACACTAAAGTTACGTCTCAGTGGATCCATTATCTGATTTCTATCGAAAACCTCCCTAAAAACTGAAAATGATATGATATGATGATATGATCAGTTTGACTTTTTATCGTCTTGCAGGCCACTGCGAGGAACATCCGCTGGGCAACTTCACGAGATATCCCACATTGAACAGATTTATTGATACATGTCGATATCAGAGTGGTTTTTGGTAATCATTACTCTTTTTGCCATTCAGTCCTGCAAGTGTTACCAGGATGATTCAGTGCTGGAGTTTGTAACTGACACTCGAGTAAAGCAGGACAAATACGTACGTGTAAGACAGCTGACAGGTCTGAACACTTTATGTAAGTGAAGCTGTGTGAAGGTCGGTGATGTGGGGCGCGTATATACAGCCTTCTCCTGCAGATACCACGGGCAAAAAACTAACAAAAACGTAACAACGTGCTTTCCTAAACACCACACTGCCGTTAACTTCAGCTATGACCCAGCAAAACACAACCTTCAATGGTACATTACCCCAAACAGCTTACTTCCAAGTTTAGTCCTCACAGAAGCATGTCGGCTAGAGAAAAGCCACGGTTGCCATCTCTGTCGTCATCATCACGCGCCGACATTTTTTGCGACGTCCAGTTGTGTGTTTGAAACATTTTATGAGGTGGGCCGATGGGGCGGGGTTTCTGCCTTAAGTGACAAACCAAGATGACTCGAGGTCTGAGGGAGAGACTCGCGGGAGATACCGAACATTAAACCGAGCGCCTCATGTCGACTCCACAGACAGTTAAACAAGCTACAGCATCACCGCGCGCCTTTGTTGTGAGACGATAGCAAGGCGACTGTTTATAATTCGAGCTAGATAACCTGGCCAGTTTTATAGAAGGACGATATAAAAATCGCCTGAAATGATTAGTATTACGTTTTGACGTAACTGAATCATCCCTAAAGTGGGATCTGTAGCTAATTAAGTCGAAGAAGTCAGTCGCTATCAAAGAGGAAGTTTGACAGATCGAGGAGGTAAAGTGACACTATCTAAGCTAGCTAACTGCTAGCAATCGACCACTCGTCAAACGGTCCATTAACCGTTTAGAGGATAGATTTAGCTAACTGAACATGTCACTACCAGGATGATCGATATTAGTTTAACCTTAAACAGTCGATCTTAACCAGCAAACGCTAACAATGCGCAGATAGTAATCAATCGATCAACTGCAGTTAGCTAAGCTAACGTTAGCTAGTAGCAAGTCTTTTACAAGAACCAGGTGTTTACCTGACACTGTGAATAAAAGTAGCTCAACCTGCATAATGTCCGGATTCTGATCAAAATGGAGATGCTAGATATCTAAATTGTAAATGAAAAATAAAGGGACTGTAAATTGAATGTGCTGACACTACTCAATCGTATTTCGCTTCTTTATAGATCTACATCTCTGTATATATAAATCACAATATTTACAATGAATGCACTATTTGACATTTATACTATGACATACCATGTTGGTTAAATCTCAAACTATGCACTAACTGTAAATACCACGACCAGGAAGCAAGTGAATGCAGCAGTGCAAAGGGTTAAAAGAATATCACTTGAAAAGCCTTAATGCAAAACACAATTGAACTTGTGTGGCTAAACATAAACGGAATTGTTCTCCTGGGTATGATGGATTACAAGTTAAAGACACATAGACAGTCAAGAAACACAAATCACATACAATATACACAACAAGGGAAACATCAGGCTTCAGCTGCCATCAAACATATAGAATCTGTTATAATTTATTCATAGCGACACACTCATGTCGAGATCCTCATTAAGAGCCAGTGGTTGCATTGTACCTAATGAGGGGATCCCACAAAGTTGCCCCTGGTATATCCTCCTGTTAACACCCCCCCCCCCCTTGCATAACCTTTTTCACTGATTATTTAGGAACTGTATACTTACTGTTGTACTTTTATCATACAGTTGATGTTAGCACTCTACATGTTATTAACACTACCTCTGAATGTAGGCTTAACTGTTTGACCTATTCACAGCACATATAGTAGGTGAAGTGGATGGTCAGGTCTTTTCTGATCAGTTCTCTGCATTTTCCAGATGCCTTCTGATCACTCATGGAAGCCACAATGCTTCCATGAATGATGTTTTAAGTTTCTCTATAAGGCAATATTTCAGTCTTCTAGTTAGGAGCCTAATTTTCTGTGTTGTGTGCCGGTCCTTCATCCTTAATGACTGCCGAGTATCTCTGTGTTCACAAGGTCACTGCCATTGTGCTCAAAACAATTCTAATGGCTCCGCGCTGAAACAAATGCAAATCTATTAACCTATCGTTGCATTTTCTTTGTAAACCTAATTTCTATTTCTTTTGTTCCTGCCTCCCACAGAGTACACATGTCGTCTGCAGCGGGGACAGTGGAAAATGCCTCCATCATTTCAGAGAGTGTGGCCCACGACGGAAACCGCTTGTGGATAGGCAACATTGATCCAAAAATCACAGAGTGAGTAAATCCACTACTGGTTGCCGCCCACAAACTTTTTAATATCATGAGTGTGCAGCTGTTGGTTAAAAAAAGAGATCCCATTCACCTTGTTGCATCTTTATACATATAAGCTTTAGTTGGATTTGAGCTGATACTATCAGTGAGACAGTATAAGTACTGGGCCCTATAATCTAGTAATCACATTTTCAAGAGATTTCTCTACAAAGGCACAAATCTTGTGACTCAAACAGCTGAATGAAAATTTTGAGGTCCTGTAAGGCTGTCCATGTTATGATCCCGAAGCATTGCTTTTCTCGATCTGCCTCATAGAAAGGCCGTGCATTGTGTGTACATATATGATTGATTAACTGTGTGTGTGTGTGTTGCAGTGTGTTGCAGGCTGAGACTGAGCAGACAGGGCTGGGTGTGTGAAAGAGAGGCAGCGAGGCGTGGAGACCTGCTCTGCTAAGGAGCAGCCATCATTCCTCACTCACCTGCCCTGTTTACTCTCTCTGTGTCAACCTGGAGCAGATTGTGTGTTTGTGTGTGTGTGTGTGTGTGTGTGCATGTTTAAGTACACAGTTGGTGTTTGGATGGCAGCTGGTAGTGGTGCCGCCTTCAACACACTGAGGTGTCTGTGTACAATATTAGCATGTCTCAAATTACACAACATCATATGTACATGCAGACAATCCTCGCTTTGTCGCATCTGTGTCTTAGGATGTGTGTGCAGTTGTGAGTGTCTGAATGTGCAAAACTCCACGTGTGTGTGTGTGTGTGGAGGGCACCCTTACACATATTGTGATGGAGGTATGGTAGATTTTCAGGGTGAGGGGTGGTGTTTGTGTGCCTGTGGGGGCTGCTGGAGAATGTATGGGCTGCAGCTCTGGTGGGCGTCTAGACAGGCGTTTCCTTCCCATTTCCCTGCTCTGCTTCTCCTTAAATAGCCCAATGCTTCACCGTATGGAGGGAAAACAAGAGAAATGCCCACGGCCCCTGGTGCTGATTGGGAAGATTAATTAGCTCCTGTGTAGCATACGCAATACTACGAAACCAAACTGCAGAGGAGGAATGCAGACCTCACATGCAAGGTGCTAATTGTGAATACATGAAGCCAAAGCACTGAGTGCCACACACTTCTTTCAAAATATAAACTGAATGGTTAATAATTCTTTGATTATTCTTCTGAGTTTTTTAAGCTGATTAAATTCATCATATTGTATATTACAAGTTGGTTGCTTAGTCATTCAATTTCAGTGATATTTTCTTTCTATTTTGAAGCAGAAATGGTTCATTTGAAAACATAGCATTATTAAATGGCCAATTTTCACAAAATAGCAAAGTTTTAAAGTAATGATATTGTTGTATTTGGCCTCATTTGCTAGTCGTAAATGATTTCGGAGGCTGTGCACATAGCAACTCTGTTACGAGAGAACTGTAATCCTCTAGCTACTGGCCCTTGAAATGCCAGTAAAGATGATGGACCTCCCTAAGGACCAGTAAATAGTAATAAATAGTCGCATTGGTTGAACCAATTTTGTATTCACCAATGAAACGATCTTCTCAGTACCTAGATAAGCATCCCATATAGTATCCAGTCAGATTTTTTCAGCCCTGGGCACAGACCAGATACACAGCAGGTGTAACCGGAGCTTTCGCCACATATTCATGTTTTTGTGCTTTTAGCTGCTCAGAGAGGTCATTAGTGGTAATCCATCACAGTCTTCCTCTTTGTTCATTCTCTTACATTTAAAGTTCTGTACCTGGAAGTTGTCATGGTTTTTATTAAAGAACTTACAACTGTCATCTTACTCATAATGCAGGCCTAGGTTTTTATGAAAGTATGAAGAAATTGCAGCTGCCTTGCCAGAAAGTCAAAACTACCCCCCCCCCCCCCCCCACCGCCCCCGCCCGAAGTTATTCCCCTCTGACCTGCACACTTTTGTGGACCGAACCTTTTGTCTTATCTTTTTATATATATATCTCCCCTTTTCCTTCCTTCCTCTTCTTTGCTTCCTAGCTCTTGTATCTTTCCTACCTGGCTTCTCACCTCCTCTCTTCTTTTGGCTTCTCCTCCTCTTCCTCCACCTTTCACCTTGCCGTCAACATCCCCTCCCTGAACTTTATTCTCCCTCTCCCCACCTTTCCTCCTCCCTCTCCTCCTCTTCCTCCGGCGCTTTTTACGGCCCCCAGGAGGAGCGGTCCATTGTGGTTCAGAGCACTAGCATCCAAAAATGTTCTTGTGTCAGCCATTTAATGTCTCTTGCATATACGCATATGCACAAACATAGCTGTATACATTTATTGGAATATATAGCAGCAAGAAAAGGTTGTATTTAGTGCATGGCAACATTTTAGAGTTTTTCTCATTTCCTGATCAGAGGTTCAGAGATGCATGCAGTGCAAAGGCAAACTATTTGAGTCTGAGAGTGCAGGAAAGTATCATAACTAATATGACAAACGTTTTTTTTAATGGAGGCGTTTCTTTGTAAATGAGCCTTGTGCTGGAGGAGCCCCCTTCACATGGGAGGCTTGCAGGGTGTTGTCTGGGAAAAGCAGAAATTCTCTTTGGCCTTGAGTCCTCCAGGGAGTCATAGAAGGGTGGAAGGACTTGTAGCTAAGGACGCACACGTCACCCTCCGTATCCTACATTGAGTTCCATTCATACACATAAATGCACGCTTGCACATTAACGTCATAGTAGTGACACACACACACACACACACACACACACACAAACCGCTTCATGATTAAAAATAACAAACAACTAAACAATAAAAGGCTGAAGCCTTAATTCCTCTTTAACAGTTATCCAAAACACCTGAGGTCATGCTGAGGCCTGGACAGTCACACAAGGTAAATGCACAGAAACAACAACACAGGAAGGCGTTTGTTGATTTCTTTTGTTTGTGCATTTTTTTGGTTTTGTTTTCATTGTTGCTTTTTGTGGTTTATAGAAAACATGTTGGTGAGTCACAGACGGAAAATCATTAGTTCGAATGATCCATTTAGCTGCTTCAGTTTCGGTGTCCAGGGAAATGTTCATGTACTGTCTAAATCTCATGGCTTACTAGGAAACTTGTCTAGAACTGAGCCATTGTTTTTGTTATTAGTTACACCTGTGCTTTTCCTGCTGTGGAAAAAGCTGATGCGTCAAACAAATGATGTCCAGCGGTTTCAATAATAAATTTGTAAAGCGATACATGAGCAAATTCTTTACTGAATTCTGTCAAAGAATGACCATGACATGGATTTTATTATTTTTTGCTCCAGTAAAATATTGTTTTTATTTTGAAATATTGTTATTTTGTCTGCAAGATGCATCCAACTGTAGTTCTTGGCTCGTACTTACAATGGGATGTGTTGTGTAAACTAGGGACTTAATTGGTCTGCAGACAGGCACGGACTACTGGGGGGGGGGGGGTTGTTTTTATACAGTGAGGCATGCCAGGGCCAAGTCTCATTACCTACCAGTCAAGAACATAATAAGATGCTTCACAGGTAGATTCAATGACATTCAGGAATAAAGAATTTCCCCTCAGGGATCAATAAAGTATTTCTGATTCTGATTCTGATACTCCGTGTACTGCTATTGAACTGTTTCTGGTAGAGTTTGCCCGATGGAGGGACACCAGACTTGCATGATATTGGACCTGAAATAATTGCTTGATTAGACAATTAAATAAATAGAAAATAAATCTGCAATTTTGATTTATGATATTCAATTGACTTTTTTTTTTAGCAAAACTGCCATACGTTTACTATATTTGCTATATTTGGTTTCTTAGTATTCTATGACAATAAATTGAATATCTTACCTGAATCTGTACCTATCTGAATATCAGACAAAACAAGCAATTTTAATATGTCAATTTGTGTCTTGGGAAAGTGTGATGGGCATTATTTTCTGACATGGTATTGGCCAAACAATTAATCAGAAATAATCAGCAGATTAGTGGAGAATGAAAATAATTGCGAGGCCTCAGACAACGCTTTATTCTGCATACACAAAAAGAAGAATATTTCATTTCAAACACAAGAACTTTAACAGTTCATGAAATGAAAAAGCACCTGCTTAATACAGAAGTTAAAATAGTCTAAAACTGACCCTGAACTCGTTGCTCATTTCTACGCTGTCAGAACAAATATTTTCCCCATGGCTGCTAGTGGTCAGTTACACGCAATCCTACAAATCCTCACAACACTGCATAAATTTATGTTCATTCGTAGTGCAACAGTCCCAGGCAGGCCCACACAGTGAGTGGATGTTGTTTGTGCAGAGCTCAGGGCTCAGGGGGGATTTGAGGCTTCCTCTTCTTTATTCCCTCATTGTCCTGCTACTGTATCCTCAGCATTGTCTCAATGAGAGATTTACTGTCACTGGGCCGCCACACCAGCTGGCCTGCTGCTAAAAAGGAGAGAAAGCTGTCATTCTCATTAGCCCTACTTGACATATTCACTGGCTGTAGGGTGGCAAACACAGTGTGGAGCAGATGTAATGTAAGAAAAGAGTAGGTCTGATGTGGAACATTTTACTAAATAAAAATGTATCTGTGTTCTTATTTAAGACTCCTTTAAATAATAAATACAAGTTTCATCTCTCCTCTCCTATGTTCTATTTTTGTGCTCTCTTTCACGTGATTCCTCTGTCGACAGGTATCACTTGGTGAAGTTGTTGGAGAAGTTTGGCAATGTGAAACAGTTTGACTTCCTATTTCATAAGTCTGGGCCTTTGGAGGGACAGCCACGGGGCTACTGCTTCGTCAACTTCAACACCAGAGAGGTACACGCTGATTTTATATTATTTGTATTTTGCCACAGTATGTATTTTTGTACAGTTTTCTTGTCATGCCGGTGTCAAGTCTTTTTTTTTTTCTTCCAAAAAACCTACGTTTGTCAATAATTTTCTTTTTGAAGTGACATAGCCGTGTAAACAGAGATCACAAAAAAATGTTAGTCATCGGCAATAAACTTGATATTGGTGTGTATACACAAAGTCATTAATAGGATGAGTGTGATTTTGACCAGATCAAATTGCATATTTGTGTCTTCCTACACATTTCTGTTTCTAAATGTATGGTGTTACATGCTATAATCTCATTTGTGTGTTGTGCACAAGTGTGCACAGAAGAAAATTATTGTTTGATTAAAATTTGCACATCCACTCTAAATTTTATGAAAGGATGTCCCTTTACCCCATGTAGTGATTCTCCCTGTAATCAAATGGCATAAGAAACCTTTATTAGACATCTCCAAGTAGTCAGGACCTGATTTTGTGTCTTTCTGAAGTGGACCATATTTAAAACAAAAAGGGACTTTAAAGGAGCCTTCATGTGTTGAGCAGGCATTTGTTTTGGAGTGAGCCTGGGGATCGTGATAAGAATCTACTGTAGTTTCACAGCTAGTGTCTTATCAGTGGGGTATGAAGCCCTCCCAAAAGGATTATACAGAGGAAGTGTGTGTTTATCTTATACACTCACACACACTTACACACTCACACATACACAGAAAAAGTACTTAATTAATATAATTTAGCATCAAAGCCACTTATTCATTTGATTAGACCAAACTCCACTTTCTCATACTGCCTCACAAACACACAGATAAAACACACACACACACACACACACACACACACACACACACACACATGCACACATGTCACTTATGGGCTATCTGCAGGCAGAGTGGCACATCATCATCTATTATTGTTTCTGCCATCTCTCTATTGTGAGGACTAATTATTTAATGACTCGGGTGCAATCATCATGTCTGATTTTTAATCATAATTTTGAAAGATTGTTTTCTCTTTTCCTCATTGTGTGTGTGTGTGTGTGTGTGTGTGTGTGTGTGTGTGTGTGTGACTGCCTGCAGGAGGCAGAGAGGGCGATCCAGTGTTTAAATGGGAAGCTAGCTTTGTCCAAGAAGCTGGTCGTGCGCTGGGCGCATGCTCAGGTGAGGGTAAGTGTCAAACTCAGTTCCATTTTATAAGCCTAAAATCTTACTCATCCTAATGGCTCGCTGGATTAAGGTGCATCACATTTATGTATGACACTGATTGTGGCTGCAGTTTGTGGTCCAGAAGTTGACAGACATGTGCATCTGCATTAGGAAAATTTATATCATTGGCTTTTAGAGGTAAAGGTTAAGAAATAAAGCTGAAAGATTGGAGAAATATCCACTGAGCATTATTGATTTTAATTTTTGTATTACTAATGCAGTAGTCAGTTTACAGAGAGCAGTGAGATCCCAGCACAACCTATGCCTGTCTCTTAACAATAGTCAGCCTACTGGCAATGGGTGAAGGGATATCCTGTATAGAGACTAATCACGCCCTACACACACACACACACACACACACACAGTAGAGGGAGGTCAGGGTCAATGCTGCCGCCTCTAAGACAACACGTAGTAGGATAAATTTGCTCACAGATTCATTGGAACTGGGCTCAATCCACCGTTCCAACCAATAATAGCTTTAGCTATTAATACCATCATAAGAAATTATAGCAGTTAATATCCCAAATGTTACTGATTGTTTACTCACAGTGTCTGTCAGCGCCTTCTGCATTCCCTACCCTCACTCTTGCCTGTGGCCTCAGTCCATTTCTACTATGAATGGAGTTTTCTCAAATTCATCATCATCTGGATTTGATGATGTATCTGGCGTGTTTTATCTGCAGTTTCAGGTGTGTTAATATTAAAATATTCATTTGAAGACATTAGTTTCTGTGTCTCTGTCTTACTGTCTCTGCAAGTACAAAATGTAAGTAGTGTTGAGGCCTCCATGCATTCAATGTTAAGCAGCCAGTCAACAAATCTGTCCAGGAGAAAGTGTTGAAAGCTGTGTGCTGAATAATTGTCACCAAACCTGTGTCAGAGATATTTCAAAAACTTTCCTGATAAGATGGTACCAGTTCACTAAGATCAAGACCAAGATTTGTCACATCATTAAACCAGGCGTGCCCCCTGTGCATGGTTGCAGTCTCTCTGCCTTTCCTTAACAATTGTTTGATCCTTGATGGATTCCAAGAACTACGTTTCTTTTTGACTGCAGAGATTATAGCATGTGCTCTGTAAAAAAACTAAACAAAAAAAACCCAAACCCACTGAAGCTGGAATATTGATCCAGTTTTCAGGGACAGAGCTACACAAGAGCTGATCCCTTTTAATTGAAGAGCCGGCCCTATATACTCCCGATGTTAGAGATAATGCGAGCAGATCGGCCTGTAAACCTGATACTGTCACCAGTTTGTACAGTGTAATCTTTATTACACATCTTTATGAGATTTAAGCAATTTTCCACCAATGGGGCCAGCTCAGGTCCAGTTGAATGTGATATTTTTTTTAGCGAGCCTGTCTTCACTGATTCCACCCCAGAAGTGACGTGCTGGGATAAAAGTGAGTCGTTGCTGTCTCATTTCCAGGCTTGACATCTTGATTTTATTACATAGTTTTGAAAGAGAGGAAATCACATTGATGAACGTTTATTGAAGGGTTTCCCCCAAAACTCTTAACAAACATCATTGGCTTTCTAAATCTGCTTTTTTAAACAGATAAACAAAAATACTATTTACTTTTTATTACTGTATTTTTCGGTATTTATCAGAATGTATGTTATGCATGTTACATTCTTTGTACTTGAAACTCTCATCATCACTAACTCTCTCACAAAAAATACTCTTAACCTTACTGTGTGTCTGTATTCATAAATTAGCCCACATAATACTTGTTTTTAATGATTAATGAAGTTCTTAATGCTTATGTAACTCTAGTGTTATAATAGTGTATGCTATTTAAAATCAAAAGTGCAACAATTGGAACTTAACTTTTCCATAACTTTAAATTCAGATTTAACAGATTGGCTCTGTGTGGATATATATACATTCCAGCTACATGCCTTTAGGAATAGGTGGAAGGGAAGGGTCCTGCTTAGTGAAATGGTCATTGTTTTTGACCTATTCTTGGCTATACATGTTACTTATCTCTTGGGCAAGTATGTAAGCCTGTGTGTGTGTATTTATTTAACTTGATTCAGCACCACCTACACCAGCTGACTTCTAAGCATCATATTCCTGCAAATGGCTGCCACTGCACCAAACGCTGGGGTCTCCCATCCGTGCCCATCATGTATGTGACTGTTTTGCTTTTGTCTTTTTTTGTTTTTCTCCGCAGGTTTCGAGAGTTCTGTGTTGGCTGGTGGAGATGTTTGGAAGGTGGTTTTGAAAGGAATGAGTGCAGACGTTGGTTGTTGCTCTCCAGCTGCTCCCTGTTTATCCTCCCTCGTGCCTTAGGCTGCGATTATGAGCTGGATGCACAGTCCTGCTTGGTTACTGTCTGTTTGACCGGACACAAACAAAATCAATACTCCAGTTTAATAATGTTGATGTTTGTGGGAGGAAGCTGGAACTGCTGTCAGTGTTTATTAGGTCTGATGATTTCTAATTGTCTGGTTGACGTTTTTGTTCTTCTCCTCGTCTACTTGTAATGAGGTCCTGTTCAAACTTGGCACTAAAATGTTTCTAATATGCACCCAGAACACGTTATTTCCTGATCACTTTTGAAAGTATTCAAGGTTTCAAGGATCTTTTATTGTCATTCTCTCATGCAACCCTGAAGAACAAAATTAGTACTCGGGGCTAGGCCTCGACCAGTCTTAATACCATATTATCATAAATAAAGTGCATTGCAACCTTAAATCATTCCGTAATATAATGAATACTAGAATACTACTAGTGCCAGTTCAATAAAACCATGTATAAAATGCAGGATTGATACTATAAACACTATTGTTGTCTTGACTTTGACACAAGTCTTGGTCTAGAGATGCATGATGCATTAAGATAATGTTTTGGGTTTAGCAGGAAAGCAAAGTTCTAGGTCTGAACAAGACAGATATTTATCTTCAGCCTATCCCTCTGACTGATTCTCTTTATCTCATGTATTCGGTGACTGTCCATGCATCTGGGTCTCCCTGTACATGGATCTTTACTTGTTTATACCTGTTATTTTACCCCTTTGTCTCTCCCCATCTGTCTGTCGATCCATGTTTCCATCACTGTTTCTGTGGGTCATTTTGTTTTGGCCACGTGTCACGTCTGCAGAGGTTTGAAGGTTTCCGTAATGACAAGACGATGCCTCCGAGCCTGGAACCGTCGAGTAGTGGCGCAACAGAGGAAGGACCTGTAACTGCCAACCACCTAAGGTTTGTACCAAACACATACAGCACTTTATTTATTTTTTTTCACCTTTGTATCTATTTGCATTTCTCTCAGAGTATGTCCACACTGAGTGAGCTAAATGTCAATCTTTCTCTAATTGTCCTTCTATATTAAAATATTTTGTACTGTGCAAATAACACTTAAAACACTTGCTGTGTATGTCGCCGTATTTACTTTGCGTCGACTCCCTATCTGTTTTCCACAGCCATAGTTGCTTTGGACTCCCATGTTACTTTCAGTAACCGTTTCACTTTCATTGTGGTTCTTCGTCTCTAGCATTACTTTCTACTTTTTAAACAAAAACGTAGTAGTGTGGATGCAGCCTAAGCCATCAGTATTCACACCCAAAAACTAATCTCTTTGAAATCAGCATCCTGAGTGGATGAATCTGAAAACCTCGCATTTTAGTGTGGACGAGGAAATATGAACAAGAAACAATGATGTAAGTATACACGTACATGTTTATTTTGTCAGATGAGTGCTTTGCGATCATAGAATGGTAATTTGCAGCAGCGGATCTTTAAAACACTACTGTGGATGCGAGTCACAGCCACGCAGAAATGGCCGATTTAGCCCGCTTAGTGTGGACGAAGTCTCCCGTCACGTTAGGGTCTTTTCAAATGCTACCTTAATGAATCCTCCATATAACTCAAGCTTGGTGCTGAAGTTATTATAGAAGACTTTGTGGACTTGTTGCTTTCGCCACAAACCGCAGTTCAAGTTGAGTTCATCTCAGTATAACTATCCTCACACATTGGTTCAAGAAACATCTGTTTGGAAGTGTTTAAGTTCTGTTAAAGCAAATTCTGACATGTTCCATTATTGTGGCTACACATGCAGCCTACATTCACACACACTGTAAGTACGGCAGTCAAATGGAGCACTGTTAAGCCGCTGAAAGGCCTCTTGTGCTCACAGTATCAGAATATAGAGTGTAACTCTGTAATCCAGTGACAATCCAGTGTGCATAGCAAGTTATGAGCTATCAGGATCCTTCTCAGGAAAGGCTTCACACTTCGGTCCTAGTGTAAACCTCAAAATCGCTCTCTCCACACAGAACACGAGAGGAAATATAAACGCTCTTTCCCCCCTTTCTTCCCCTGATTCCCTCTCTAGACTTTTCCCTCCCCTGCTTTTTAGATACTTCTCACACACTCACTCATTCCCTCAGTCCTTCTTCTCACCTGCACTGTAATTTGTCCTACAAACTCCTCTCACTTGCTCCTTCAAATCCCGTCTCACCATTTTAAATGCAAGTTGTCATGCAGCATAACCGGTAATCTACTGCTTGTGCCCCATTCCCCCCACCCCGAGTGCTAATGCCTTCTCTGCTTTTCCCCTCAGCCAGAGCCTCGGTCCATCAATACCAACACCGGTATTTCCCTCAGCCTCCCTGCTAACATCTCCTCTTTCTCCTCTCTAGTACGAGTGCTAAAATCCGCGCCATCGAGGCCAAGCTCCAGATGATGGAGGAGAATCCAGATGATGACTACTCGGGCCCGTCGGCCTACGTTTACAACAAACCGCCAGAGAGGAAACGCTGGGAGCCCTACTCTAAATCACACCACAATAACCAGAGCAGGCCCTTCCGCAAGTTTAGGAGATGACCCATCCCCCCACCCATTCTGGAGGACCACCTCCCCTCACCCTGCACACCTTGGCCCCCACCTACACACAAACAGACTCTACACTAGATACTATAAAGACACATCCTATCTGGGAATAAAAGGTTTTGAATACTTTGAGAAACCAGACTCTTTGGGAGTAATCACAGCAATCACGGACAAGTACTCTAAAGTGGTTTCACTTATTTTGGGGTACAGCATCAGTTGTTATTTAGTCTGAACATATTACCCATACCTGACTGCTGTGCAGACTGGATCCCTTATCGGTCTGCTTTCTCACTTTTGCAGAGATTTAATGCAGTTGAATCATACGGCTGTGAGTCACATGACACACAGCTGCTAGGAGAGAGAAATGTTATTATTAATGCTGATTCTGTAATTGTTTTTGACGTGTTTTTACTTTCAGATCATATTATTTAATGGTGAACTACAATTTGTTTGTCTTTTCTCAAGACTTCAATAAAGAGGAAGACATCCACAGATTTGTAACAGGTTTGTACCAATAGAGTTCAAATGATAAGCCACTCAGCGACACTTACTGTAAGTTGCAGTATTTTTGTGTGAAGTTCTTTGCTCTTTTCCTAATATTTTTTTTTTACTGACTTTTTTTGTGGTGTGTTGAGTTTTGGTATTTCCCATGCCACAGCCTCTTTACTTAAAGTTTTCAATTAAAGGCCATTAAATATCACATCTACAGTGTGTTGTCGTATACCATTTTGTAGCATGTACATTGCTGTTGAACTCCAGCATTCAGCTTTAGGATTTGTCAAGAAGCCAATGCTACATGCCATTATTAGCGACATTTAAACAATCAGTTCCACCTTTTTTGCTGATATGTTGTTTTGTAAGACATTGGGTAAATGTCAGACATCTGCATCTCATTAATGGGAGACCGTAGAGGACTACTCCCTAAAAGCAAATCCACCATCATCCAACATGGGTTAAAAAAACAGTCCTGAAATATCACAATATTTTTAAAAAGCAGGGATCTTACCACAATTGTCAGTACAGGGTTTTCTTTTTTCCCCCAGACAGGGTGGATATTGATTATTGTGCAGACTACCAAAAGTTTCTGTGAATCATTTTCATATTTTGACAGTCTTTTTGCATATGGGTTTAATGTGGAAACATATATAAATATAATATTTTAGAGTGTAACATTTGTTATTGATTTCTATGTGTTGTCCTAGAGCCACAGTAGTTTTGGTGATCTGAATTGTGTTTTCCTGCAGCTGTGACATGCAGTGTGAGGTCATATAAAACCCTTTTCAAAGCAAGATATGTTGGTGAAATTATAGTCTGACTTTGTTTGCGTGAAGAATGAATCAGTCAGCCAAAGTTCCTTTGCAGAGCCAGTGTTTTTAAGAGTTTACCAAGAATATCTAACACTCTTATTAGGCTAGATATCATGCAGCAGGGATGGAGGTCGGCAGAGTAACTGTACCAGACAGAATTAAAAGAGCATCAGTTCCTGCACACCGAAGAAATCAAATCCTACCTCTTGACATCAGCAAGCTCACCCGATTGCAGAATATTTCTGGAGGCCGTTAGATCAAATTAACTAAGTGAAATGTGTTTATCTGTTTGTTTGTTTTATTTTTTTTAAAGCTGATTCGTTTAAATATATATTCAGTTTTTAAATATTTTAAATTAATTTCTCCTCTGGAATGAGGAAGACGTTTCTTAATTTTTAGGGTCTAGTTTATTTTGATGGGATGGTTTCTGAGCTATAGATTTACAGATAATTGTGGGATTCTTGCCTGATTGACACGTCGATCTAAACCGGTGTGTGGGCTCGTGCATATCCTGTAATTATCCAGAGCTTGACGTGATGTGAGTTTTTGTGAGCATTTTGTTTCAACTGCATCAGCTCCTCTGCTGTTTGCACATATTAAAGAAAAATATCTGTTTCTCTCCATTTTTTTTTCACAATTGTTTTTTTTGTTGGGTTATATAGCCTTAAACGATTATGTCAAAATAAAGGACTAACCTATAAATACAACCCTAAATTGAAGGGAAAAATCTGTTAATCGTACTGTGTGGTTATTTTTATTTTTTTCTGTCCTGCAAATCCCACATATGCATTTGTTAATCATACATGTATTATTAATTTTACACGACATATGGAATTTAAATAGCCTATTTCATAAAACGAAAGTTAATACTTTTAAATACAAAAATAGAAACCTTTAATCATTATTATAATGAGCATTAACAGCAAGGAGAATACATATGATTACAGCATTGAAATTAATTAAATTAGATTTTACTCTATGAAATTTGAATAAATGCATTATGATATTTTTCTTATGTAGGCCTTTTTTGGGGCATTATTTTTCTGTTCTAATGAAGATACAGTTGAGCCTGAATACAGTATAAAGCATCCATACGTATGGCAATGCTGCATATAAAATGTCTATTTATATGCCTGAGTATATGTGGGTTAATTATTGCTTTACAGCCTATATGTCAGCTGTAGTTGTATAATTCTGGTAGCAAATAAATGGCAATTATATAAATAACTATAATTTACATTGGATATTTTTCTCTCTGGAAGCAGCTATAAATGGCTGAGATATCAAACATACACCACCAGAGTTGGAGTAAATTTCTGTCATAACTGTTCCAGAGTGTGTCCACCCTTCTCACGCAAATGAAACTCTTTCCTCACCGCCCCCTTCTTTAACTAAAAGGCAGGCCAGGGAGCCGCACAAACTTTCACTACAGCTCTACGGAGACACTCTGGTTCTCTGCTTGTTGCGCTCTCGTCGACCTTGCAGCTCTGCAGTCTCCCCTGCACATATGAAGCCTTGGAGTAAAAGCTGCCAGCCCCTCAATTTGATTCACTTCCTGTAGTCAGACTCCTTCCCAAAAACAGGAGAGAGGGGGAAACTGGGAAAGGAGGAAATCTTTCTGTTCTAAATAAGGCTCACTGCGGAGCAGCAAGCAACTCCTCGCCTCTGCATAGCTTCATGACTTTTGCAGTTTGTGTCACTGGCAGTCAGCTCGTCGTGCACAGCAGCGTTTTAAAGGGAGAAAGCATTTTGCGTTTAAAAACAAAACTGTGCGCCAGTTACACCCGAATCCCTGCGTGGTACGGATGGTACAAATTTTGACGCCCATCGCCGAATCTTCTCCTGATTGCACGCGCCGAATTTGGAGACACTGTATGCTGTGAGACTCCAGGGGTTCATGTACTGGAAAAATGAAGTTTTGTCCCCTCTTTCAGAGGGAAATAAGATTCTGTCCGAAGGAATTCCCACGAAGCAGGTACTAACGCTTTGGAAACGGCTGAGCTTCAACTGTGTGCGTAAAAAGTTCACATTGGAGAGGTAGCCTACCCCACTTATGCACTGTTTGGGCCTTCCCTATTTGGCTTAGACTGAATACGTTTTTATGTGATTGCTATGAGGTATAATGGTGCAATAAGTAGCCAATGTGAAATCATTTTAATTTTCCTAAGTGTTTCTCTTCTTTCTTGAACATTCAGTGGATCTAAATCTGCTGCTGCGAAAACGCGCACTTTATTTGCAGCCCTCAGCATCGTGTTTGAGTTTTGTTTTGTCTCTCTGTGATGTCATGAGAATCACTGCTTGTGTACTGAGATCAGCTGCACGCGCCAGCCGCTGTGAAGAGGCACGCGCCTCTCTGCCATGAATAGCGTGATTTGCGGTCCGCAAGCCTCTCCAGCTCTGCCAATTCGCCCGAGAAGAATTGGATTTTAATTACAGCCATTAAAAATCAAATTTGCAATTCTTTGGGTGACCCGTTGCCTTTTTCTGATTGACAGTTGAAATTGACACTCCGGGTCCCTCTTATCCGCAGCGTTTCAAGCTATTTGTAATTACAGGTAGCCCCCCTCCCCTCCTCCACTCTCGTGTTCTGGATTGCGGAGAAAATACTATTATTCTGAGAGGCACGGGTTAAGGGGAAGGGAAAAATCAATCCAAATTGAAATAGCTTCATTAAAATGTGCCTTTTGTTGCGGGGGCCCTTTGAACAGTGTTAACCGGGGTTTATTGTCAGGACTACTTTATATAGGAGTAGCCTTGAAGAGCTGTCTGCAAATGTCTCCCGAGGATTTCTTTGCTGAAGATGAGACGAGGAAAGTGATGAAGAATTTCCGTTCACTGAACGTTGTCTTATAGGTGATCTCTACCGAGCATCAGAGTACGCCGGGAGCCTCGCGCTGCAGTGTGGACTCTACGCGCACGCCAATGGTGAGAGCTTTATTGCCTATTTATGCTTTGAAAATGTCTGGATCATTCAGTGCGCATGTTGCGCGCAGTAGATGACCGCTTGGCCCGTGCGCATCCAATGCATGCGGAAACAGAGTTAGGAGTCATGCAAATGTATAGTTGACATTTGTGAATTTTGCGGGCATTGCTGCAGACCACATCATGAAAATGGCGACATCTGCAAACGGGCACTGTGGGGATGAGGATTATTCTGTGTGTTACTGAGCTGTGCTGATGCCCTCTTGCAGTCTCACTCGGACGGAGAATCCCAGCGGTCGAACATGGAGCGGGAGGACACTCGCTCGTCCCCCAGCACGCCGTCCACCCCCTCCGTGTGCTCGCCGACCTCCACCACCAGCTCGGTACCGTCCACCGGGAAGAACGTGTGCGCCAGCTGCGGTCAGGAGATCCTGGACAGATACTTGCTGAAGGTGAGAGGCCGGCCAGATTCACTTCGACTAAAACCTGCTGAAAGTTCCAGACTGGTCAGACCAGAAAATATTTTATTCTGGGGGAGACTGTGTATTTGTTTACTCTTTTTTACGCCTGCATTAACATAGACAAAACATAGCTTGTCTACACAAGACCAGCAGAAGCGAGTGAATGAGGTTGCCATGTTGACCGCTAGTCCTGTTTTGGTTTGGACACTTCTGCTGTCTTTTTTGCGCTGATGTACTCTACTGGAATGAACAGCGGCCTGGACTGAACTTTAGGCGTCCTTACTGTCGCACGGACACAAAAATAAAGAAATAACCTCCTAACTGAAGGGGGCCTACAGATTTACCTTCTACATTTCTAACTCATTTAATATTAGTTGTTTGAACGCAAAAAATACATAAACCCTTAACTTCTTGTAATTGTAACCGATGCATCTGCACCGTAACATTTTAGGCAACAAAATAGGCTAAAGCAACAGGCGGTGTTTGGGACACCGCAGGCACAACAGGATCCATGTTTTGGTTTTTACTGTTTTACAGCCTCGCTGTCAATACAACTTGTCTTGTCGCGTGCGCTCGCGTGCTCCCAACCAAAGTAGCCTCTGTAATCGCGCGCAAATGGGTGTGTTTGTCAGGAAGTGTGAATATCATTAGTCAATTATCTGAGTCTATTTTGATGTCAGTCTGCAGAACGTAATGGGAAACATTGTTTGGACAAGAAAAATTATGGCAGTTATTTTTATTCAGATATTTCAGTCTATGGAAAATAAATAGGGCTATTTATGTTATAAATAATTTCAATTTTAAGATGAAACTAATAAGATTAAAAACATTTTATTTTTGTTGTTGTGTCAAAGTCCAGGCCTATTAGGATATTATTTGAAACTGTAGTGTCTCTGTAATCATTTAAAATATATTTTATACTACTGACTGAAAAGGTATATTTAAATTATGTTAGGCTATAAATTAATTTAAAAATAGATAGGCTACAATTGATGATGTATTTGCTCTTTTCTGTTTTATC